TCTAGGGGGGATCCAAATTTCAAGGATTTTGCTCTACGACCCATAGGAGCCGAGATATTTGCATTTTTCTGTTTGGAGCGCTGGAAAACATAAAAACGCATATTTCGGGCTCGAAAGCAGCTGGCATTCACTGAAATTTTTCTGGTTTTGACCAGGATTACAGGAGAGCTGAAGAGGTAGCACGTTCGGCAGGAGTAGGGGACCCTTTTTGGATGTTCGATGTTGGCAAGTTTGAATTCCGCATGTATTCTAGGGATCTATCAACGAAATTGGCGGGAAAAGCGGATACCTCTTTGCCTCTCATGTGCTCCTGTTACAAAAGTCGAATTTGCAATACTTCTGCAGGGGTAATGGACCCATTTCAGACTGAATTCGGGTAAAACGGACCGGGTAGGTATTATGGACCACTCTCAAACTAAATTCGGGTAAGATGGACCGGGTAGGTATTATGCACCACTTTCATACTGACTTCGGGTAAAATGGACCAGGTAGGTATTATGGACTTATTTTACAGTAAGGGTAATAAAGAAGGGGAAAAATACAAAAACAAAACGAGAAATAAAGGCTAATGAAGATTTATTAATATTAACATTACATTAATGCATTACAATGAAGAAGACTTACTAACTAAAACAATAGAAATGAAAAAAATTTTATACACGTATATATAATATAATTATATAATATAATTATATAATATAATTATAATTGTTTATATATATTACATGTTCTTCATTTATTCATTTGTATAAAACGGAAATCCTGTCCCACTCCCTTAATTATGTCCATCACTTATGTTAATTGCAGTATTTCCACACGTAATTTGTGAATTTAAAACTCAGTCGTTCCTGGTGGAAGCGAATGTAGTTCAAAATAAATATCTCTAGACGAAGATCCCGCCACTGGCCGCACTGTATACAGTCAATTGATGACTTGCTTAAATTAATCAGTCGCACTTTATTGATGCAATCATGGCTTGCCTACGGCTCTTTCTCCTCGGGCTTTCAATTTTTTTGGTGGTAACTCCTTCCATCGGCGATAAATCGTCATCCGAGAGTCACTGGAGGGCGGACGAGCACGAGTGGAGGGAATTCGAGGAATTCCGAGAGTGGAAGAGGCTGAAGATCTGGGAGAGACAAAATCGAAATGAAGGTGTCGGGGAGGAGAGCATCTCACTTGCAGGGGCCCCTTCTCCGGATGAGAATCCTGCCGTGATGGCGAGGTTCATCGTCAATCAAGCGAGTAATTATCCTTTTTTTGTTCTCGTTTCAATAATGGAATTCCTTCGGCCTCCCGGTGCGAGGGATGACTCTTGTTTCCATTAAAATGGGTTTATAATTTATATGATGATCTTAGATTGGAGCTCTGTTGCTACCATCAGCAGTCGAAAGGATATCCCGTCATTTCCATTTGCTGGAGTCATTTCCGTCAGTGATGGAACCGTCGGCAATGGCTCTGGAATTCCTTACATGTATCTCACACCTCTGGATTTCACAGCGCAGGACATTGCGGTGAGAATTATGAAAAGACCGTAAATGATATCTTTCGTTCTGAGATATTTTTTTTCTTCAACTCAGAATTTTTATTTTTTTGTCGTTTTGCAGAGAGATCACAGAGCGACGTTGATGATGACCTTGGCACAGGGCTCCTGGTGCAAGCAGAAGTCCATGGACCCGATGGACCCGCGTTGCGCAAGAGTTGGATTATCCGGAAAAATTGAAAAGGTCGGAAAAATTAAACTGGACGATAGAATAAAATTCCTCTTCGATATTTCATTATTTCCTTCGGTCACAGGTTATTCCTGGAGACCTGGATTACGACAGCGCCAGAGATGCGGTTTTCGGGAGACATCCGTGGCTCTCGCACATGCCAAAAAGTCAGTTTTCTGCAAAATTCAAAATTATAATTGCGATTAATGAATATTGTTAATATTATTGAAAGTATTAATTAATGGGTCATCAATACTCATTTCTTAAATAAGTATTAGCGAACGTACCGATATAATATGTTTTCCATTATCTTGCAATTTTTTTTAATAATGGAAAATGTTTGTTGCAGATCATCACTTCTTCTTTGCTAAATTAAATATATTATCGATCGCGATGTTGGATGCCTTCGGAGGGCCGAAGTACATTCCTGTGAAGGAATATCTAAACGTGAACAAACACATTGCATGGAGAATGCCTCATCGATCCGTGACACTAATTTAACTAAACAATCACTTAAGAACAATTTGTGTTGACAATATGTACATATACTCTATAATATTCATAAATAAATCTTAAAATTTTGATGATTAAAAAAAATTAATAATCGATTAATTAGTTCTTGAAAAAAATGATTGAAAAAATTGATTGGAACACTTACTTGCGGAATTAAAACCACTTGTCTTGTAATTTGAACTTTAAACACATTTTCTCTGCCATCTATTGACAACAATAAAGGATTGAAGATCAATTGTTCGGAAGAACTGAAGTAGATGGCAGCATGAAATCGTTGAAGTTAAAAATTCAAATTACAGATCTACATTAATTTTAATTAACAATATTACATATTATTTTAATAGTTCGATCTTTTCGGCGTTTCGATGTCAGTTGAACCGATTTTTAATTGTTTATCCCCGTATATATAATTTTTTAAATTAATATCCTATAATAAACTGTAAATCACTATAGATTCGGATAATAAAAGTGAATAGATCAATTCCTTAATTCCACATTCCAAAAAAATATATGGAATGCACCTTATGAATTTGGCATCTCTATATTATAATGCAATTAAATTCTTTTGAAATTGAATTGAATTCTTTTTCTCCCCGAATTTTCCTTCAGATATTTCTCTTTTACTATCTTCAGGGGATTCGTATTGAATCGATGAATTCAGTAACATACAACACTCGATTCGACGGATTAAACAGAATAGATTTATTCACAGTGAATTAATTTGATTCACGCTATGAGAGCTGAACCGTAAGGCTGATCTGATTTTCATCTGATCGAATTATCCGAATTATATCGAATTATTACGTAAATGTGCAGTACACTAAGTACGTGTCATCGTATGGGATTCTGTTGCTAAGCCCTTCAACAATGGCTTAGCTTGTTGCGAAATAAATATAAAAGTACCTCAATTTTGTTATGGGTTACTCGCAGATACCAAAAACGTCTGCTGTATCGATCAGCAATCTAACTAATAGACAATTTAAATATGAAGAACCCTTTAATATCAATTAACAAACTTTCAAATAAAGTTTTCAAGTTGAGTAATTAATTTGTAATCACGATAAAAACTGTTACGATAAATAAAAAATGAGAAGTCCTGACGTAAAATTTCGTGAGATTAATACGCCTTTTTTTTACGATTTTGGAATTCGCAATTTGGCTAGAGTTTTAAACGATTAGTTGTCAATTAATTAAGAATGACGATAAGCATTTTAATTTTGTTTTATGTAATGGACTGCGGTTATAGATCCGCTTGGTATTGAGAGTTAATTCAGTAATGATAGGGGCGATATTAACCGAATGGAATTCCGTAATGTGAAGTCGATGTGATAATATCTCTCTAGGAGTTGCCTCCAGGACGTAACATTAGAATTGCCGATCGATCGAAACAGTAGCCCCATAGAAACCCGAAATGCATAATTAGATTGGCCTGATACTACACACCAACCATCATGATAAGGATTGAATTTCGTGAATTAGGTATTCACTAATCAAATTGAGTTATTTCGCAAATTGAATGGACTATAGATTTTGCGGCTGGACGATTTTACTGAGTACTTCAACCAACATTATTCCCCCACGTATGAACGCATGAAAGACTCACCACAACAGTTATCCCATAATAGCACTTTCCAAAAACTATTGTAACCCTAGCTAATACAGAACAATAGCGAACAACTCCAACGCGCATTGTACAAGCGATAAAAGCTCGAGTTGCCGAAACTTCAAACTGAATAGTTCAGTACTTGTCATTGAACCTCAAAGCAATGACCACTGATAAATAAGATATTGACTTGAAAATGTACTGGAAATAAAAAGACCGATCAGTGAAAAATCAATTACGAAATTAATCACTATCCACTTACCTCTTTGAAGAGGTGGAGTGACATGACGAAGAATTTTCCAGCGGTGATGTGACAGGGTCTTACTTGCGTCTGACGTATAATTACGATCAAATCTTTACTCACTTCCTTGTTGACAAATAAATACCGATTGAATGCAGCATCTGCGATATTGGCGCTCTTCTCTCTCAATTTATCCCCGACCCAGCAGTAAACGAAGAGACTGCTGTTCATAGTTAATAGGAATAAAATGTGGACCAGTAAAAAGGCAAAATTGCCGTCCTCTCTCAGCTGAAATTAATGAAAAATAAATATTTAGTAGAGTCACACAGTATCTGAAAATAATCGATGCAAATGTCAATCGATGAATAAACATTGGCAGTCAAAGTAATCCACTAGCCTCTAATAATTTTTTATTTTCCATTTTGTAATGATCAAAATAATTCATTTATTCCATTGAATAGACGCTGTAGCTATAGAAATTCTGAGTATTGATTCTATAATACAGAATTGTTAATGCATCAAATGACGTCAAAGAATACCATGAAAGAGGCCCATGGCACTTATTTTTTTATGACTAGTTATTTCCTCTCCGGATATTAACGTGAAAAGATTGTCTCAATAAATGCTCAACTCCATCTCCCGTCTTGTATTTTTGGTGTTACATTTATTTTATTCCTTAATCCTAGATTCTAATAACTTCCAATAACTCAAATAGATTTCTCGCTGATCCCCGGAAAAGAAATGGTAATACATTTGATAATCGAACTTACCTTGGCTATTGTATACCCAATAGAAGTGAAGTGCACAGTGCAAACAATGATTCTGGCAAGCATTGTCACGTGAAATGCATCATCGAACAGAGAGATAATCCTGAAACGATTAATATTCACGAGTGAGTGAAAATCCCGCCAATACAGTAACAAAAATTTTTCATATGAATTATTTACTTGAATATCTGCAAATGGTGATGAACAATGCATTGCAAACAGCTGCAGCCCACGATCACGGGATCATCATCAACTGACCCAGAAGAGTGATGACGAGTCCCTCGAAATCGTTTCATCATGTATTCGAGTACTTCAAGCTGACCGCAGCAATGAAAAATCATCCATATAATGCAACAATCAATAGATGCAAATATCAAAGCCGCTGAACAGTTGAAAACACCCTGAATTATGTACACTATTTCGAACACCGGCGATGCTGTTGCGTTGAATGGATGACGGGGATTACTCGGGTGTTCAAGGTTGAATTTTGAAGGTAAAACTAGGTGGAGGATGACAGGCTGAAGTGTGAAGACTGAAAGGAAAAGAGGAGCAACATGATTGACGTTCAGCCAAGTGAATACTTTCTAAATACTCACCAACTAAAGATACACCGACGGCGATGCATATGCAACGCGTGATGCGTCTCTCCAACGATCCATATAACACCATGATGTCCTTGATATCCTTGGATGATCCCTCCAGGTCCCTCCAATTCCGTTGAATACTCTCTATCAACGGTCTGACGCTGCACCACTGAAGTCTGAAGATAAAGTGATTGACGCAGGTCAGGATAATTCCCGTCAGCACGAAGATCTTGTTGATTTTTCTGGATACCGATGGCTCCAGGATAATACTCCGGAGGAATACACCCAACAGGTAATTCTGCATCAGTTGGTTCAAGATGAAGAGGAAGGTTTGGTGTGCGGCTTTGGGCCAGAGACCCACTAGCTTCAGTCCTGTCTTGATCAGTCCCACTTCCCAATTAAAATCCTTTCCCTCATGGCTTATCTCTTTATCACTGCTTTTCATTATTTTCTCTTCGATAAATGCCTGAGGGAAACGAATCGTTAGATCAGCTCGTTCCATCAGTTCGAATAGTTTACTGATCATAATTCCCGATCCTGCTTCACTGTCCCCTTAATTATCTCCAACGATCGTCTGATGTAAAATTGCCGGTTTCACTGGGGCGTAAATAAACCTTGAGCTCGTGTAATTATTTACTCATGTCGGTCCTTATATTAGAGCAGTCCTGTGTGGCGTGTCACTGGAGAGGCTAGTGTACCCAGGTTTAGTGTTGTCGTTTGCTTGCCACACATGATCAGACCAAAATGTCAACATTAAGCTTGAACTTGACTCAGCAAATTAGATCCATTCCTGTCGAATGTGGTCATCACAATTGCCTGTTGAATTATTAATGAATTATTCATACAGATATTCACGTAGAGATTTTATTTGAATTTGATATTGCGGATTGTATCGTTAAAACGCTTGGACGGAAGTCCTTGATATGGAATCACCAGGAGGTCCCTACAAACTCAGCACCTGAGACAGCTGCAATAAGGCTGACTGCCTCATTGTCATCAGCTTGACCCACATGATGCGTATTGCGTCAGAGTATACTAACTTGACCACGACAGCGAAACACATTTAGTAGCATGTAGCCATCAACACCAGCCAGGGCAAGTGCTGAATACATCGTTGATATATACCCAATGATAACCATTACCTCAAAATTCAAGAGAAGATGGCATATCAAAAGGATACATATCAATTCCCATTAATTTACGTATACTGTTTACGACAGCTCACACTAAATGTTGAATCATTATCCGGTAAGAGGTACATCATTAGAATGACATATAAAAATTGGGAGGCAGAAGAAATAGCCCAATATCTTCGAATCTAAAAGAATTTATATTTAAAAATCTTCTATTTTTTTTCATCGGTTATTTTGTCTGTGGGCTATTTCTTTTGGGGCTCCTGGAAATTCCGGAAGCGGTTTAACGGTAGATTTTTAAGTAAATATTAATGAATTTGGAGTAAAAGTACGAATTATTATATCCCATTGATCAACGTAAATCATGTGAGAAATGAAGGCGCTGAATAAATATCTGAATTGTTTCACATTGAGTTAGGAGAGGGTGAAAAAACAATAATACCATAACCGCTCACGTAACATTTTTTTTTTTCTCCACCGTCACGATCGCTTTCACGATCAAAGAGACCACCTCTCAATTTTTCCAATTTTCGTTGATCCATGGGAATACCCACCCTAATGGTTTCTGTTTCGCTCGATAGATATTGTTTCATATATCGTTACCATAAATGTTATAGCACACGTTTTTATCCGGTGAAATAATCGAGCGCATGGTGGGGAGAAAAAAAAAAAATGGGATTAGTACGAACAAACACGGGAGAAAATATTCTACCCTTGGGTATTGACGATCCTCGGGCAACATTTCCAGAATTTGAATGGGAAATTTTATCGGTAAACGACATGTGGATCATATTTATGGAAAAGTTGTATTCATGCTGAACTAATCCGATTATTTTGGATGATTATCGGTAACTTTATACTATCGGGTAAGACTACATTGGCTAGTGGTTTGCGTTACGTAAACTGTATCTCTGGTGAGCCGATGAGTATAAGCTTTGAAGGGAAAATATAACTCGGGGTAAAATATTTTTTTACTTGTAAATAAGTGATGTTAAAGGGTTTTTTAGGATGTCCGTGTGGTTAATGGAAGATAGTCTCTTAGAATTTTACTGATGTTATCGGTTTTAATGCACTCCGTGATAATCCGATTTTGTTAATGGATGGACTTCAATATTAATTACTATTCATATATTCCCACGTGAATTTATCGAGCTATTGTAATAGTCATTTTATCAGTCAGAAAAAGATTTCAAACTGATTGACTTCTCGAGACGTCTGAATTTTTTTTTCTTATTTTTTTCCAAATATTATTCACTCGTTTTTCAGTCTGAAATGGACTAATTGAATTAATCAATGATTGATTACATTTTACAGTTTAATTAATAGATGAATCAAAAAGAAATTGTTATACATCGATTAATTGAATTAATCCATTCAAACCGTAAATTGGTATGCGAATTTTATCAATGAAAAAGTGAGGGGATTATTGGGGATTTTTGTCGGTTTAATTAATAATAAAATTTTGCCTCTAATTAATATTCAGCTATCGGCGTAATGACGTATCGATCGGGTAATGTGTTGAAACGTCATTTCTCACGCGGGACAATGAAAGCACGAAAAATATATTTTTTTCAAATAGTAATTCGATTCCGTAATTAGTGTGAAAAATTCTAACTCATTGCCTTAATCATCGATTTTCCAAGCAGCACTAATACAACGATAATTACCAATGGTGGATATGTAGTATGGTAATCTGTCGGCTGAGGTGATTAACGAGGAACGGGATACATCCGTCGATATTCAACGGAATAATGGCTCCTCGTCAAGAAACTCGGTGTAACCAACGACAAAGGGAATTTCAGAGCTGATACATCGGTAGGGAATGGATATCGTCTATTGTTTGATTGGTTCTTGTCAAACTTTTAGTTGAAGGTGTTGCACTCGCGTTATAAATCCCTCAACGCTCGGGAATAATATGTTGGCTCTGGTTAGTTACGAACTATCAGTGCTTCTTGTTTACGAACTTCGCGTTACTCGGGTCTTAATCAGATTTTTTTTTCAATGACTGTACTATGTGTATGTGAATATTTTTTTAAAAAATGGTAAGTCAAAATTGTTCTGATGAAGACCGGTTGTATGGGTACATAAAATTGAGGATTGAAAATATTCTAATTCAATCGTAATCCTAATGTGAAGAGGGAATCGTCGATCTCGAAATATCTCGAATACCTCGAATGACCGTGAGGGTAAGACGGAACCGACCTGCCACCTCGACGTCGCGGCAAAATTTTGAATATTTAAAAAATGTTAAAATTTAGAAAAGTGTAAAAAATATTAAAAATCGAGAAAATTTCAAAATCATCGCGAAAATCCAGGGAGATTTCAAATTATTGAATAAATTTTGCCTGCGTTGCCGGGGCGGGAAAATTTTTAAAATTTAAAAAATGCCAAAATTAAAAAAATGTCAGAAATGCAAAAGATCGGGAAAATTTCAAACTCATCGCAAAAATCCAGGGAGATTCTAAATTATTGAACAAATTTTGCTTGAGATGCGGGGGCGGGAAAATTTTGAAAATTCAAAAAATGCCAAAATTTTAAAAATGTCAAAAATGCAAAAGATCGGAAAAATTTCAAAATCATCGCAAAAATCCAGAGAGATTTCAAATTAATGAACAAATTTTGCCTGAGATGCGGGAGGCGGGAAAATTTTGAAAATTCAAAAAATGCCAAAAAGAAAGAGTGCAACAAATTTTTTTTTTATCGATGAATTTCTCCAGCCCTTTAGTCTCAACTTCCCAAGTTCAAAATCTCCAATTAAAAATTATGAAACTCAGAATAATGTTCAGCTTTTCGTCCGTTATGTACAGAGATGTTCGCCAGTTTGTGAGAGGGACGTCAACATCTGCTCTCATGTATTCATAACCAACTTTTTGGTACTCGTGGTGGATAACCCGTGTTGCATTTGCTAATTACGCATTTACGAGCCTCGATACTCAATTATGTATTCATCATCTACTTGAAACACTGGTCACATCATGATTAATTGAGTTGCTCAATGCACCGGGTGGAACTTTGATGGAGGAATTACCGGAAACTTTTTGGCCAAAGCCAGAATTCGAGACTTGTAAAATGGATTTGGGGGTTTGAAAATGTATTGAGGTTTTCCCACAGTTTGAAATAGCAATAGCAATTCGAGGATCGGTGAGAGCGTCAATTTCTTGTGCAGTGAGTGATAATTGGCATTGGAGTTTGAGAGTAACGGGTTTTCACAGTTCCCATAGAAATTTCCCAAGTGGTAATTAATCACAAGTGCGAGAGACACGATAAGGGCGTACTCCAGGGCTGGAGAAATTGTTTGGTACAAAGGAGCACACAAATGCGGAATGTTGCAGATCTATCCTCATCTTTTTTTCTTTCTCCATTTATCTCTAACGAAAAAGCAACTTTCATCATTGATGGGGGTGATGGAGGAGCCAGCGAATTTATCGACAGTTTCATTCATTATTTTGATTCTCCAACGGATTGAGAGCACTTCTGGGGGTACTTCTGAGTGCCATTTACCGAGGGAAATAAATCTCTTTGTTCTGTTGCACTTGAGGTTAATGAAATAGTGAGGGGCATGTTGGATTCGCCAGGAATTTATCAACGAGCTCCTTCAGATATATTCGGAGATTTTAGGTGAATTATTCACCAGAAATTTCCGAAAATTTTTCAAAATTCACGTCAAAGTCCCAAAAAAATCTACCGCCAAAAAATCATTCCCCCGAATACTTATAAATTTCGCGGAAAAGTTAAAACTCCTCGGACTCACGAAACTCCACAATAAAATATAATTATAATAATTTTTTGTATGGATCTTAGAGGAAAGTGGTATAAAGTCGAATTAAAGTTTATCGAAAAATTGAGAAGATAAAATTTCAATAGATCATAAATAACTCACCGTTTCTGGAACTCCAGTTCGACAAAATATTCAGTGTCGGTGAAAAATAAACGCACGTTGTTGTTGCGAAAAAAAAAGGCACGTCGCGATAAAAAGGAACTGAGTGAGAAATATGGTTGGAGCGGGTAAAACTTTTTGTCGGATGGTATCGTTCATCTTCTTAACCCCCTTTTGTTGTCCACCCCCACTGGTATTTCGTACTTCTGACATCTCCAAGTCGCCAACGTGAGAGCACCCACACACACACACGAGTATTTGAATAAACTTGAGAACAGGGGGTTGAAGTTTACCCCCCGTCGTCCCCGTCTTCCTCGTCGCTGCCATCTAGAACAAAAGGACATTTTGAATAAAACATGCGGTGGATTGAAACTGTTACTATTAAAAACTCCATTATTGTTACTCCGAATTATGGGTTTTGACGAAAACAGCGAGTGGAATAATTCCAATGCAGGAGATTATTCGATTTTCAGAAAAAATTGCATTAGAATTCTCACGCGCAATATATTTGAAATTGAATCGCCCTGGAATGTTTTTATTTACTCTGAAAATTCGGGCGAATCTAGACTTCACTCATGGATTCCCCGGAATTTTCACCATTTTTTATGAGTACCCGCGGTATTATTTATTTATTTTATCACTTTTTTCAATTTCGGAAAAATATTTCTGGTCTGACCCATTGATAAATTTTTCCACTGAATCCTCACGGGATATTTTCCCTATTATTCGATATTAAATTGATGTCAAAAAATTTCAGAGCGACGAGCCCCTCCCCCACCACCCACCGCCCACTCGAAAATTTCAAAATTTCCTAAAAATCTCAAAAACACAATAACAATATATAATCATAATATTTCTGTGGAATGCCAGATATATCACCTCCCTTCCCATTTCAACGAGCGCCCACCCCTCCCCTCCCCCCGCCACCTATTTTCTCACCCCCATCTGGTCCGCTAGTGCCCCTTGGACGCATCCCTCCGGAAAAGAGCAGTACAGGGGATGCGAGAGGATAGTAAACCCCCGGTGATGTGAGTCGTTGGAGTTGTCTGGTGGCGCGGTATACGGACAAAATCGTAATCAGAGCTTGCGCCGGAACGTCAGATCCAACCAGTAGTCGCCCGGTCGTTGTCACGGGCGTAGCTGGATGCTGGATGATTCACGTGGGTCTGGGTGGACGCCACCTCGTTGCACACGAACGTTATCAACGTACAGGCAACGAACGTGGACGTGTGATTTACTTTTTTTATTCACCCCTCAAAAATTACTCCACATCAACCGCTGACAGGGGATAGGGGGGGT